CTGGGAAGGAACGACTTAATATTACAACATCACCTGGATACATCGTCACTGTCAACGTCAGTGATGGGAAAAAATCTTCAGAATATTCTCAGATGTTGAGCATTCTAGAGGGAAATCCCCCTGTTGTCAAACTTGAGTAAGTTTTAGAAAAAAAAATTTCTTTGAATACATCTTAAAATGGTTGGTAGTAACATATTTTTTCATCAAAAAGGTTCTAAAATAAATTGAAATCTTTGAACGTCGACCTTACAAGTTTCAGTCAAAAATTAATGGCAAATAATTTTGTTCAATCAACTTCTACTTGTAAAATTCACAGATGCATCATCAATTGCAAGGAGAAATTAGCTGTAACATCTAGAATGACTGTCCTAGCGAAATGTTTAGATTGTAATGAAACAGAAAAGCCTTCTTACGAATGGAGTTTGAAGGCATTTGACGGTGGAAATTGGTCAACTATTGATTTGGAGTCCAAAACAGCTAACGGTTTGTTCAATGTTTATATTTGTAAAATTCAATGATGAGTTATGCAAAAAGTAAAACACATTAACAGCAAAAAGTCTATAATGAATTATCGCTTAAAGCGATTCATTCGATTTTTAAAACGTATTATGAACGTATCTGGTATAATGAATTACGTTTACAATGGATCAGTATTGTTTGTTCCTGGCACTATCCTATAAACGGGTTTTATGTGTTTAGTTTTATTTTGTCATATTTTATTCACAAAAAAATGAGGAAATGGTGTTTTTTGTTTATTCTATAGCTCATACCAGTATTTTTAAATTTCAAATGATTGAGGTTAAAAATAAATCTGAAAAAATTATTCAAAACCGATATAACACACATTTTAATCATCCAAATTTATTTGAACATTCTTACATGTAATCTTTCAGGAATAAATAGTCAAGCATTGGTACTAAAAGAAAACACACTTGATCCTGGTGAAAAATACACGATTACACTAAATACAACCGTGGATTCACGTTCAAAGCCTAGCACAGTCTTCATGGATCTTGTCACCAACTATCCTCCATACAACGGAACATGCTCGGTGACCCCGACGGAAGGTAAGTTATTCCTCCTTAATTTAATAAACATGTTAATAGGTGCTTGACGTGGCATTTTTCTTTTCACAAATAACAACCCTACTTGGTACTAGGAAGGAATTATTTTTTATGATAAGAATAATTATATAGCGTCAAAATCCTATCATTAAAACATTTATCCGTCGAAAATCCTTTTTCCTGTGGGGAGAACCTTTTGCTTACTTTTTGATTCTTTTTTTTAATGTTGGAAATTGCCGGTGCTCGACATTACAGCAACAAAATGTGGGAGATGCCCCCCATACCTCCCCCCCCCTCCCCCGGCGTTCTACGGGTCTGATTTGAGTAAAGTTTGAAGTGTTAAAATCTATGCTTAAAAATCAATAAATTTTGTAAATAAACTTTGAGATGCCTCCACCAGAGTTCATACTTAATCCTCTAATAGTACACTGTGTATGAGATGATGTCTTTAATCTAGATTACAGATTTCATTCGCATATTTATTCTCGAAAATTTAATTAAAAATCTAGTTTTTCGATAAACAGCCGTGAAATAGCGAATAAAAGTATATTTTTAATAAAACTTAAAACACGCAATTGTTTATAAAATTATTTGATAAAACGTCATTAACGAATTATCATGAATGAAAACTTTATTGAAGTAATGCAAATAAAGCTATGACAACTGAAAAAAAATTGTGCAAATCGTTTTCGCCAGTAGCCGATCGTAGTTTTACACGCCTATATCTTGATGGAAATTTCTAGAACGTCAGACGGTATCAAACCCGATGTTTATAATAACGAGACGATTAACATTACATGAACATTAATTTTTTTTAATGTGAATGGGCATTGAAATAATTGTAAAGCAATTGATAAGTTGTGTCTGTGTTTATATATCAAAACACTATTAGTAAGTTGTGCTAATAAATTTAACAGTGAAAAGTTACCATTTTACCTGTTGTAAATATATGCTTTATTCATTTTAAATATATTTTGTATAATGTCTGTTAAAAAATTCTAACCACTGAGAAATATTCATGAGAATTATTTAAAGTCATATAGGGCGGTTTTTGTTTTTGTTTTTATGTTTGTTTTGTTTGTTTTTTGGTTTTTTTTTTGTAAGTTCAGACTACCTTAATTAAAAAGATCTTTCTATTTGTTTTATTACTTTATATAAAAACAGGACTTTTCTGTAAATTACACAATTTAAATCAATCACGTTTCAAAGATATTAGAAATTTAAAACAATAACCGATTTATTTACCGATTCCGCATTTAATTAACAGACACAGTTTAAATTTTTTTAAATCAATCTAACTATGGAAACATGAGGTTATTTAAGTTCAAAATCAGTGAAAAATTAAATTTTAACGTAAATAACATATATCATGTTAAGCTACACTCAATCTCGTATTTTTATTTTTTAGCTTAGATACATGTACGCCATATATAGCTTTAACAATTATTCCGAATTAAAGAAGATGGATAAAAACTTAGCGTTCCTTTTGCCTTCAGTTTTTAGCCGCCTACTACGGCAGCAAAGAAGTTTTAAAGCGCCAACTTAAATTAATCTGAACCTCAATTAATTTCAAAGACTTTCCTTATTTTCCTTAATCGTATCCTCTGACGTGACTTGGACATCGAGCCACTGGGAACAGACCTGCCTACCCTTCCGCTTTTGGCGTAATTATTCCGCTTTTTACCACGAAATTACGCTGTTACGCCATGAAATTTAAATTTACGCCTTTAAATATTTTTCCTTAACAACTTAATGAAAGGCTAACTTGGAAGTTAAAGTAAAGGCTTTCCTAAATAAAAACGAGAAGGTAATTAATACTAATTAATAGGGGTTTTTCGGTTCTTCACGATTTGATTATTTACGATACAAGCAACATACGTAATATTCTTTGTAGTTATGCCTTTAAAACGGGTGGCATGCCAAAATTAAGGAAAAAAACTTTTGAATGAAATGCGCAATAAGTAAAGTAAGTTATTTTTCAATTCCGTTTATTCTTACATTGCTTAGAACAACATTGGGACAAGTAAATGTAAGGAAAACAAAAACGAAATAGCGCAATAATGTAGCATTTGTATTAACATGCAAATGAAACTTTGAATTATGTGATTTTCTATAAATTTTCCAAAAGTTCATTAGGCATGTAAATTAAATAAATTTGATATGACTGCATTTAGGATGCCAGTTTTACAACACATGGCCTTTTTTTTCAATAAATGATTTGAAAACGGAACATTCATGCTTGCTTTGTTCAATGATGTACAATTACAGGTTTATTTAGACAATATAGTAGCATTGCAAAACATCAAACTAAGGAAACATAAAGGATTACGCCCTAATCTGTGAAATTCCGCCAAAATGAGTATTGAAATTACACCCTCGCAATGAAAAGGGTAGGCAGGTCTGTGGGAATATGAAGGGAAAAATTGAGACACTCCTGCATCATGTCCTTCTGCTGCCCATGCAGATTCATGTTCTAACGCTTTATTATGTATAATATAAGTACATGTACATGTATACGCTCCTGGGAAAAAAATCATGCATAGAAAGGTAATAAAATTGAAACGTTACCATTTAAAATTAAGTATTTGCACACTGAAAAGAACCCCAATCTACCAACATCGATTTTTTTACTTTAAGATGGACCATTTTGTTTAATGATAATAAGACAGACTTTGGTCAATTTTGTTTACATCTCTATATTTAGAAATATTGTCATCATCAGGTCCTTTGCCAGACCACCAGCTTATCAATGGCAGCTTACACTAGGACTTCACTTCCGGATTCAAACTTAATACTTCCGGATTCAAACTTAATGTGTCATCTGTGTGACAATAAACTTGCTGAAGAAAAAATGCCATTTAATGAATATTATTTGTACAGTATTGTTTAAATATATAAAGCAAAAGTTGTTCATTCTAAGCTTTTACAATTTACTAAAGCTTTTAAAAATTTATACAAATATCTTCTTTTTTTGCATTGAAAGGTTCGGAAAGCTATTTATCCCCCCCCCCCCCAAAAAAAAATCAGTAAATAGGCACTTTCACTTCTTTTATCTTTTATGGAATCGGAGCACCCTCGAAGTACAATACGTTTAACATAATACCACATGTATCAAAATAAAGTTGACGACATGTAAAATGAAATCGTTAAAAAGTGAAATTAAGGTCTTCAAGGTGAAAAAGAAACGGGGATGGGGGGTCATATCTACTTCTGCTCCTAAGGCAACTGTGGGAACTTGAACAACGTTTTCTTCCTAGCTGCTATAAGCCTGTAGTGAACTGTCAGTAGAATCTGTACAATATATTCCTGGAATTATTCTGTCAGCAGAATAAATTAGATGCGTGCGTCTGCCTCTACCAAATTTCCAAAAAGTGTGTGATAGAACCTTTTGAACAATGTGAATGATTCCATACTGAATTTACATTGTTAGTACATATCATATGATGATTTATAAACAAACACAATATATTTCTAACGATACCTTGGTCTTGTGTTTTGTAACGGTGGACATTGACTTTCTTTATAAACTTTAATTTAATGATGATAAAAAAATGAACCTTAAATGCAAAAAAAAAATATATATATAGTAGGTACAAAATTTCTTTAACTGAACTTCTGTATATTCACATGAGAGTGTATATTCACATCAGAGCAGGGGTATTAGTGGTTATTGGATCACAGACGTCTTCCTATTTCTGTTCTTCATAATTTTGATCGACCAAATGCTAGTGCATATAAGATCTTTTGGTGCAATGAAGCTTAAAAAACTTTCAAGTTATATTCGAAGACAAATCTCAGTAAAGAAATTTGCCATACGGGATATGAGTGTATTTCTTGCTCTTTTACCTCATTTTAAAGTGGTTTTATTCCAACCGAATTTTCAGGGGAAAATGTAACCCTAAGTACGTCGTAAAAAGTTTTTTTTTAATTACAGGCATGGCTTTGAAGGACACCTTCAGCATCGAATGTTCTGGTTGGATAGATGAAGGTACAAATAGGGAGCGGAACCTTACAAGAGACAAGAGAAATGGCGAACCGCTCACTTATCTATATGAAACTATAACCAGAAGAAACCTGTCAACTGGGATTCAGGACGTAAAAACTGAGCTGTTCCTAGGAGGTAAAGCTACAGAATCCAAACACTTGAATATGCAAATTAAAGTAAAAATTGAATACATAACTGTGCTTTTAATTTGCGTATGTTCGATCAAAAAACATCCCCGCGAACATTAAGCCAGGTTTATAATAACAAGGACCTGTCACCTAAAGTCATCTACTAGGAGGGACTTTTATGCATAAATTCCTAAAAAAAAATTGTGTGTGTTTGAAGCAAAAACATTTATGAAAAAAATGCCGAGATCGTGAAATAAACACCATCATGTTATGTACCATCATGTGAAATTTTAAGCATTTGGAATTACATATACAGCTATCACAAAACAGACCACTAATAGTCGATAAATGTATGAGTGCCACTAGAGAATTTGCACTGTATAAAAGACATTTTAGAATCGGCTATGTGTACTTATGGCATTCTTAAAAAACACCCTTTGAATTTATATCTCTGTGCAATGAATATATATACAGGCTACCCCCCCCCCCCCCTTCCGAACAATATTGACCAACTTGATATTTTATTTTATTGCAATGATTAAAGTGCATAGCAATACTTTTTTTTAACAAACTGTTTTACATTCTATAGGAGAGAGCACAGTTACTGATGTCCCTCTACAGCTAGGAGACCCAGCATTTGATTATAAAGTCACTGTCAAAGTACACATTTATGATCGGATCGGAGACAAGGCCATTTTCAAAAAAAATATAACGGTATTCGAGGGTTGTCCCGTAAAATCATGGACAAAGCGTTTTTGTTGAATAATAATGGGTGCACTAAGCTGAAATTTTCAGCAAATATTTATCTATCATTGTTAAGTACTTTTTAATTTTTTGGATAAATGTAGACAATGTTTATACCTGTCTGCCTCCACTTAATAAAAACAATAACACCCTTTAAAGAATAAAATAGGTCATTTATTACAAAAAATAATAAATGACAGCAAAGAGAACACAATCTAAAATTCTAATATAAGAAAAGGTTACATACATATAAAAGTACAGAGTATTATTACAAATCGCCAAATCACAAAATTTGCCCCTGAGACAATAGGTGTGTCATCTGACCTATTTTGACTAGTGAAAATAATTATGGCATATTTGGCCTATAAAACGTAGACCAAAAACTTTGTACAACTTGGAAAAAATCTAAAATGGGGGCGTTAAAAGCGCTGCACATAAACAAGAGTAAAACATAATCTAAATACAAATATAAAAAAATACTGCCATAAGGTACAAAGGAGGTTGGGAGGGAGATGGTAGACTCAAAGTTGCCTTTGTTTACGAAGTATTCAATTTAGATTGCGCATGCGCATTCAGTAAATATGCAAATTGGGGTGCTATAAATACCACCCGGAGTCACCGCTATGCGCATCATGAAATTAATCACAAGGCAACATATATAAATAATTTATTTGCCTAAATCATTTTTATACCTGTCTGCCTCCACTTATTAAAAACAATAACACCCTTTAAAGAATAAAGTAGGTCATTTATTACAATAGATAATAAATGACAGTAAAGAGAACACAATCTAAAATTCTAATATAAGAAAAGGTTACATACATATAAAAGTACAAAGAGAATATTATTACAAATCGCCAAATCACAAAATTTGCCCCTGAGACAATAGGTGTGTCATCTGACCTATTATGACTATTGAAAATAATTATGGCATAATTGGCATATAAAATGTAGACCAAAAACTTTGTACAACTTAGAAAAAATCTGAAAAGGGGGCGTTAAAAGCCCATGTTAACAAGCCAGGCAATATTTGTAGAAATGAATACACAAATGTACAAATATTGACTTGCATGTTAACACCCCTAATTATGCTCTAAGCTAAAAGCTTGAGCTAATATAATGCTTTGAGCTAGTAAAATATGCTTTGAGCTGATGAAATATGCTTGAAGCTATAATAGCTGCCATGACTTAGCAGACAAGCATGAAAATAATTGTGTCATAGCTATTGGGTATATGCAGGGCATATCCATTACACTAGCTATATTAAGAATTTTGTATGCAATGAGCACAATGTATGTGTGCTCAACATAAATAACTGAGTTAGGCATTACCTGTTTCAAGCCAAATATTCAAATAAAGAATGTTCTAGTAGACAACTACAGCACTTTTTGATGATCAAATGCTGAAAGAGAATGTCAGATAATACAATTAGCGTACATGTACCATCATCAAGTTAAATACATTTCGTGTCATTGTACAATCATAGTTGTTAAGTAATTTTACAACATATTAATGGTATTATATATAGTATATATACAAGTTATTGTCATACATTTATGAAAATTGATAGCAGTAACAAATTATAAATCTAAGTTAGTAGCCCCTGACTTTTAACCTTAAAATACAGGAATTAACATTGACTTGAACGATGATTAGAAACGAGAATTCCCCTAAGTTGTCTTATCAGTTTTTGGTAGCCGTAATTGTTTAGGTGAACTCCATCACAATGAATCTGTTTTCTGCACTCAGAGAATCCTCTTAATTTCCAGAAAGTCAACTGGTGATTTTTACGAAAATCCTGTAACAAGCTGTTGGTTTCAATGACTCTTAACCTATAATTCTCAGGTGAAATAGTTCTAGTTCTTTGTCTCGGGAAATAACTCAGAACAGTGACAGTTTTTAATGGGAATCGGTTCCTTAATTGTGTCAAAAATGTGACAAGCTTCGCAACAACACATTCTGTACTCCAGTCCGAATCAACTACATCCAAATCATTACCCCCTAGACAAACTATCAGATGGTGTGGCTTATAGTGTCTCACAGCAGAAGTAAACAAAGCTAAGTGGCGATCACACGCTACTAATCCTCCTCTAATGCCAATGTAATTAACCAAGCTCAGGCCAGCAATATTGTATGCTGACGCACTCGAATGGTGTGCGCCGAGATGGAATTTCGGTCTCTTCACATGCGAATCGCCTATGCACAATGTTGACATTGCGAAATGTACAAATAAGAGAGAGAGGCTCCGATTACGAAATACGTACAGATCGCTTTATTTTGAAATTATGGTATCACTAACCTTGTTCTTTCGATCAAATGAGTCTAGCTTATGTATAATCCAAAACAAACGGGTAACGAATTTGGAGCAGGTATGCCATCAATACAGATTCTGTGCCTGGGTCAATTCGCCATTATTCCCCGCAGTTACACAAGACGGAATTTTCCCAAGTGACGCTATCGAGTTTACTGTGAAAACACACAACAGTAGAACACTTTACCTATATCGGACGGTGCACAAATCGTTGTTACATATTTTGTCGATGGAAAGACCTCTCAAATACAGATTATTTACAAGTTATCTTCGAAAATCTTCTTCTAGACTCAAAGTTGCCTTTGTTTACGAAGTACTAGTATTAAATTTAGATTGCGCATGCGCATTCAGTAAATATGCAAATTGTTGTGCTATAAATACCAACCGGAGTCACCGCCATGCGAATCATGAAATTAAACACAAGGCAACATATATAAATGATTTATTTGCATAAATCATTTTTTTATTATGCTTGAATGTGTACAGGGTATGGTTCTACGGCGCACGATTCAAAATCCAGGTTTCGGTAGAAAATTCGCGAGTATCACTTCGGAATAAAACTATTACATAGATAAGGTTGGGGTACAAATTATCATATTTTTTAGGTATTCAATGTATAAAGATCATATTTTGTACGTAATAAATGAATGGGTCGATATTTTTTAATTATGGTAGCACTTTGAACGTATTATTAAACATGAGGCCCAAGGGCCTTAACGGTCACCTGAGTATAATACAATAATTTAGAGGATCCATAGAGTACAAAATGAACTGAAAGGTGACGAGACTTTGTTGCCCAAAAGCAAGAAAAATAGGGTGATCAGGATCAACAAAATAAATAGTCTAGTGTTCATTAACAGTTCATAAATAAGGTTCTAATCTGTTGCCCATTTATTACTCTCACCGTACAGTATATTAACAAACTATCAGTGCATCTGTACTATTTCAATTCCTTGTTGAAATCTCTTACATTGGCCTCTCTTGGTCTTTGATGAACATTTAATAAGACAAGTTATTTTTGTCTCATTTTTATTTATCTACTACTTACAAGTCTACCTGATCATTAAAACTATGAAAGGACTTTTTGTATTATACAATAAAAATTCTTGCATAATTCTCTTATTCTATTAAGCTTTCAAGTACATTATTTACAGTGATTAATTATCAGAAGTAAATGGCAAAGGGGAATAACTCCTCTCAGTAGAATACAAATTAATAGAGCCCTGGCCAGGACCACAACACTTGACCAAATGGTCCAGATGTTCAAAAATCTGGTAAAAATACCCTTCCTTATTAAAACTTTTACTCTTTTTGCCTCTGATATGCCCAAGTTCAGAGAAGATTTTTTAAGAAATAATGCATTTTTACTACAGATTCACTATATTATCAATAGACCCCCCCCCCCCTCCCCACCGAGGAACACCAAAGCCTCTCACCCTGGGATCAGAAGTTTGCTCATCATAAGTAATCACTTTGTTTATCTGCTTAACACTAAGGAGCAGACAGGATTATTTAATAGCATCAATGCATTTTCACTATATTATCAAGAGCCCCACCCTTACACCAGCCTATCTGACCCAGACGTCATGCAATTCACGACTCTGGAAGAAGCACTCTTGCTCATCATAACTATATTTAGCTTCTTTGCTTTTTAACCAGAAGCAGAAAAAAATATTTTCAAAGTAATTTTGTTTTTTCACTATATAATCAATAGAGCCCCCCCCCCTCCCCACCTTTTCACCAGAACCTTTGACCCTGGGGCCATGAAATTCACGATTTTGGAAGAGACATCCTTGCGTATCATAACAATGTACTTAGTTTGTTTAAATAATATCAAGAGGCAGAGAAGAAGATTTTCAAAGAAATAATTCACCTTTGCTATAGGATCTATATAGCCCCACCCTAGCACCAGAGCCCCTGTCCCTGAGGCCATGAATTTCACAATTTTGGAAGAGGCACCCTTGCTTATCATAACAATGTACCCAGTTCGTTTAAATAAAACCCAGAAGCAGAGAAGAAGATTTTTAAAGCATTAATGCATTTTCACTATATAATAAATATAGCCCCGCCCTAACATCAGAACTTCTGATCCAGGGGCCATGAAATTCACAAGTTTAAAAGAGGCATCCTTGCTTATCATAACTATGTATTTAATTTGTTTAAATAATACCCAGGAGTAGAGAAGAATATTTTCAAAGAAATAAAGACCGTTCACGGTAGCTCAGTCGGTAGGGCGCTTGCTTCGTGATCGGGAGGTCGTGAGTTCGAATCTCGGCCGCGGCTGACCTAAGTCGATAAAAAATGGGTAGCAACTGTTCCTTCGCCATGCGCTCGGCACTTTGAAGTGAAAGTTGCGGGTCCTTCGGATGAGACCTTAAAAACCGAGGCCCCGTGTCACGGTAGGCGTTGGCACGATAAAGATCCCTCACTGCTCAATGGCCCTGAGTGCCGAGTAAAGGTCAAAATTTGAAGCCCTTCACCGGTATATGGTGACGTCTCTATATGAGTGAAAAATTCTCGAATGGGACGTAAAACAACATACAATCAATCAATCAATCGTAAAACAATATATATAATCAATATAATAATCAAAGAAATAAAGCACTTTCACTATATGATCTATATAGCCCCGCCCTAGCACCAGAACCTCTGACCCTGGGGTCATGAATTTCACAATTTTGGTAGAGGGCTCAATACAATCATGCCAACAGTTTGACAGCTTGATGTCTAGGAGTAAAGAAGAAGATTTTTAAAGATTGCATTAATTTAGGTGGTTTTAGCCCCACCCCTCAGGCCCCAGGGGGGCAGGGACCATGAAATTCACAAATTTTGTTCCCCTTCACACATAGGTGCCATATGCTAAAATTGGCTGAAATTGGTTCAGCAGTTTCAGAGAAGAAGAAATGTTCAAATGTTAACACACGACGGACGTCGCACACGACGGACGAAAACAGATAGCAATAGGTCACTTGAGTGACTCAGGTGACCTAATAAAAATACTCCATCAAAGGAATTTACAAATTTTGATTATTGTCAAATAAATTGCAACTTCAATTTTACATTGAAGTCTATGGGCAGTGCAGGTTTTATTAAGATATTGTAAAAAGTAATTTGAATTTCACACAGATCTCTTTGTGAATGTATGCATAAACTCTCTCTTTATTAAAATATAAAATATAATGAATCATTTACCACAGATATTTTGACAAAATTAAAATTGTCTTTTTTTTGTCAAGGGCAGATGACTCTTCAAAAACTTTTAAGGTGCAAAATGACCAGCTTCTTTTATGTTATCAGTCATATAAATTTGGTTCATTTCCATTTCATCGTTAGGCCATCATTAAAAATATCTTTGTTTCCCCTAACCCGACCCTAAAATTTCAAGTTGAGTAGGTAGGTAGGTAAATTATTATTTTTTTTATGACAGTTTTGAAAATACATTCTGAAAATTGAATAATATCGCTATAAATAAGAAAGAACAAAAGAAAGTGATTTTTAAACCTAATATTATACAAATGAAATTTAAAAGCAACATGTATGGTAAATTAATTCACAAATATTATTCATTTGAACTTGTGAAATATCTCAGGCCAGCGTAGATTTATTGAAATTGAATTTTTTACAAAAAAGACAAGATTCGCAAAAACTCAACTATTGGCCATCCGAGTATATTTTATTATGCCCCTGGATCGAAAGATCCCGGCGTATATTGTTTTTGTCCTGTCTATCTGTTTGTCTATCCGTTTGTCTGTTGTCAACTTTAACCTTGCCCATAACCTTTGATTGGTTGGAGCTATGACTTTCATATTTCGCATGTGTATTCCTTGTGACAAGACCTTTCTTTGGGTACCATCATATATGACCTTTTGACTTTGACCTTGGAGTTTGACCCATTTTTGCAAAATGTTATGAGACTTTAACCTAGGCCATAACTTCTGAACAGTTGGTGCTTGGGGTTTCAAACTTCACATGTGTATTCCTTGTGACAAGGCTTTCCTTTGGATACCAACAACTTTGACCTTTTGACCATGGAATTTGACCTACTTTTGAAAAACTTTAACCTTGGCCATAACTTTTGAACAGTTGGTGCTTGGGGTTTCAAACTTCACATGTATATTCCTTGTGACAAGACCTTCCTCTTGATATCATCCTCTTTGACCTTGACCTAGGAGTTTGACCTACTTTCGAAAAACTTTAACCTTGGTCATAATTTTTGAATGGTTGGTGCTAGGGCTTTCATACTTCCCATATGTAATCCTTGTGACAAGACCTTCATTGGAATAATAACAACTTTGACCTTGACGTTTTACTTACTTTAAAAAAAACTTTAACCTTTGCCATAACTTTTGAACAGTTGCAGCTAGGGCTTTCAAATTTCACAGATATATTCCTCGAGACGAGACCTTTCTTTGGGTACCAACGTTTTGTATCTTTTGGCCTGCATTTTGACTTGCATTTGAGAAACTTTAACCTTCGACATAAGCTGCCATACGGGGGCATCAGTGTTTCACAAATACATCTTGTTCAAACCTACTATCATCTTCGAGTGCTTACATAGATAAAATGTCAAGGGCCTCGCGTGGTGCAGTAATTCTAGTGTTTCGTTTTGGAGTCACGACGTAATTCAGGAGCTTATTCTAAGTCACAGGTCCCGACGTGGGGCGTGGAAATTGGTCAGTCAAATGAGACCGTAAAAAACGTAGGGCCATGCAGTGTCACAGTATACATGTAGATGTTGGCACGATAAAGATCCCTTACTGATGCTTTATGATCAATGGCCATAAGTGCCGAGAAAAAATCTAACTTAGGAGTCCTCCACCCGTGTTCAAATGTTGTCGACTCAGCAATTTTTAAAGGTATTTTAAAGCAAAGAAACAACCTATTTTCAAGGGCCCAACTAAAGAAAAGAAAAATACACTGGACGTCTCAGGAAGCCATACCATACGCCAACTTTAAAGATTTCAACACTATTTGAAAAAAGAGCACCTGTATGGACAATATTTCATTCAACCAAACCATATCTAACATGAATGAAGTTTCATATATCTAATGTTATTGTCACGAAGTTTACCCCATAAATAAAAGGAATGAAGGAACGATATCCAAATTATTTATCAAGATGAAATAATTATACAAAGATATATTTACAAATCCTATGGTCCTATATAGTAAAAATAGAATCATACATGAAGTGTTTTTTTTTAGATCGAAACGAATGAAATGCAGTGAAATTTATTGATATGCATACACAAAGTGGGCCCCTCATCTGCTCATGAGGCAGGCTTTGTCATGCTGACTACGTACGTTAATTTTAGAAGACACATTTGTAAATGCCATGTTAACACTCCTTAGTCATGGTATATTTAATTCTCGAAATGTTTCAAGAGTGTAAGATTCTAACAAGTTAAAGATGTCTATTAAGATTGATACATCGCCGTTGTTTTATAACACTAAATAACCCTCTGTGGCCACATGTTGTGGGCGCCAAATGAGAGTAAAACAAAAGTCGCCATTCTGATAAAGAACGAATTTTGATGAAATTGTACTTTATGAAGTGTATAAACAATAAAAATAAATATTTGAATAATCTTATTATAAAAACTTTTCAGTCGGCACGATTTAAGTGGGTCGGTCGCGTTAGGGGAAACAAACCTAATTTTTATTTTGGCCCTATCTAGAAATGCTTTTTTGGCTAGTTTAAAATGATTTAAAATTGCTCAAAATCCATTCATTATACATTGAATACCGTGGTACACATCTATTTTCTTGTCATTTGGAAATTTCTTAGCCATGTTTGGCAGTTTCCCGAGCAATCGAAATGGGAAAGTGGTCATCACGAAACACGAACAATGGTGGCGTTTCGACGTTACGGCGCACCCGTGAGCAAATCACTCTGATTTAGATGTGGTGATGACGCTCTAAGAGACTTTATATGACTACAGAAGAACAAAAAATATATATATAAAATATCACTAGATCTTTAATATACAAGTGAAATAGGACTTTTCTAATCGGAAGCTTTTTGATCGAGTCCCTGGAGAATAAAACATACGGACAGACAGCTAATGCCAATAACGAAAGACGCTATCACTGTAGACTGTCGATATAAGATTGCCTATTTTGTTGAATGATAGTAAGAGTACAGTCCATAACTTACTAAAAATCTTAAGAACGCCCAATGTGTTTGCGAGATTAGTTCCTCGACTGTTTATGTAGGAATAAAGTGAAACTCGAGTATGTGCATCAATGAAATTCCCGAATTTGTGTGGGACTTATCAACATTTTTTAAGCAAAGAGGCAACGATGCTGCTTTGAAGTTATCACCCATGCGCCGGAAGGCAGTCCCCCATGACAACTTTGGTACATGTATAATATATATACAACAAAAATAACATAAAATCTCATATTTTGTTAATCTGAGCATATATTCATTTGAAATTTGGTTGGTACATTGATAAAAATGTAAAAAAGAGAAATGAAAATTTTTAGTACGCAAGGATGATTATTTTTCACTCTTGACACCTTTTCCACGATTTTACCGGACAACTCTCGTATTTATATTCTCTGATACTGAGTGAGTAATTCTTTTTATGCAACTAAAAATCAATGTAATTGAGATCACACATTCACCAAGTTGTCTTACTGTGTAGGTACGTCCAATGGAGAAGGTCACCCCTAACTCCAGCTCTGACACCGGTGCAATCGACTTACTATTTGAATCATTTAATAAAGAATTCAAACGTACAGATGCGGGTGGTAATGACATGGGGGTGGTGCGATTGGTCAGTTCTGTCTCCTCCTATATTGTGGACTTCTCAGAGGTATGGATCACACAGATATGTCTTCATTCTTCTCAGACGTAATACTGATTCAGAATATCATATTCTCAACTTGATTTTGAATTAAACTTAATTATGTGTACACAGCATGTGGAGACAATAATACAATTTATAATCTTATTTTAAAAATGCCAAGAAATGAACATCAAGAAGAACTAAAAATTCCTATTATAAATACAGTAAAACAACTTCCACACGGTATTAAAGAACACATTCTTTTTTTTTCAAGATATAAGAAATATGATTACAATATTTTAGGGAGATTCACCGGGAACAACAGAGGAAGATATTTTATCAGGAAGAACCTCAAAGATAACAACCCCCACGACCAGTAAAGTCACACGTCTGTATCAAGAGGTATTGGCTTCTTTACTACAGTGCAATATCTTTGCATTCAATTGTCTGAATGCCTCAAATAAATTTACCATATAAGTACAACTCTCATCTTCTTTAGCTCAAAATGTATTGCAACATTTAAATCTTTGATAAATGATTCAAATCATAATGACCGTCATTGCTTTTTTAGCTCACCTGAGCCGAAGGCTCAAGTGAGCTTTTTTGATCACATTTTGTCTGTAGTCCGTATGTCCGTCTGTCTGTCTGTCCGTCCGTCCGTCTGTAAACTTTTCACATTTTCGTCTTCTTTTCAAGAACCACTAGGCCAATTTCAACCAAACTTGCCACAAAGTATCCTTGGGAAAAGAGGATTCAAGTTTGTTCAAATGAAGGGCCACGCCCTCTTTCAAGGGGAGATAATGAAGAATTAGTGAAAAATTAGTAGCATCTTTTAAAAATCTTCTTCTCAAGAACCACAAGGCCAGGGAAGATGAAACTCATGTGGAAGCATCCTCAGGTAGTGTAGATTCAAGTTTGTTCAAATCATGACCTCCGGGGGTAGGGCGGGGCCACAGTGGAGGATCAAAGTTTTACATAGAAATATATAGGAAAAACCTTTAAAAATCTTCTTCTCAATAACAGCAAAGCCATGATGAGTCATATTTATATGGAAGCATCCTCAGGTAGTGTAGATTCAAGTTTGTTCAAATCATGACCCCCGGGGGTAGGGCTGGGCCACAATGGAGGATCAAAGTTTTACATAGAAATATATAGGAAAAACTTTTAAAAATCTTCTTCTCAAGAACAGCAAAGCCATGATGAGTCATATTTATATGTTTATATGGAAGCATCCTCAGGTATTGTAGATTAAAGTTTGTTCAAATCATGACCCCCGGGAGTAGGGCAGGGCCACAATGGACGATCAAAGTTTTACATAGAAATATAAAGTAAAAACCTTTAAAAATCTTCTTCTCAATAACAGCAAAGCCCTAATTGGTCATATTTATATGGCAGCATCCTCAGGTAGTGTAGATTCAAATTTGTCAAAATCATGACCCCTGGGGGTAGGGCGGGGCCACAATGGAGGATCAAAGTTTTACATAGAAATATATAGGAAAAATCTTTAAAAATCTTCTTCTCAATAACAGCAAAGCAATGATTGATCATATTTATATGAAAGCATCCTCAGGTAGTGTAGATTCAAGTTTGTTCAAATCATGACCCCCGGGGGTAGGGCGGGGCCACAATGGAGGATCAAAGTTTTACATAGAAATATATAGGAAAAACCTTTAAAAATCTTCTTCTCAGGAACAGCAAAGCAATGATTGATCATATTTATGTGGAAGTATCCTCAGGTAGTGTAGATTCAAGTTTGTTCAAATCAGGACCCATGGGGGTAGGGCGGGGCCACAGTGGAGGATCAAAGTTTTACATAGAAATATATAGGAAAAACCTTTAAAAATCTTCTTCTCAGGAACAGCAAAGCAATGATTGATCATATTTATGTGGAAGTATCCTCAGGTAGTGTAGATTCAAGTTTATTCAAATCAGGACCCATGGGGGTAGGGCGGGGCCACAGTGGAGGATCAAAGTTTTACATAGAAATATATAGGAAAAACCTTTAAAAATCTTCTTCTCAATAACAGCAAAGCCCTAATTGGTCATATTTATATGGAAGCATCCTCAGGTAGTGTAGATTCAAATTTATCCAAATCATGACCCCTTGGGGTAGGGCGGGGCCACAATGAAGGATCAAAGTTTTACATGAAATATATAGGAAAAATCTTTAAAAATCTTCTTCTCAATAACAGCAAAGCCCTAATTGGTCATATTTATATGAAAGCATCCTCAGGTAGTGTAGATTCAAGTTTGTTCAAATCATGACCCCCCGGGGGTAGGGCGGGGCCACAATGGAGGATCAAAGTTTTACATAGAAATATATAGGAAAAATCTTTAAATATCTTCTTCTCAGGAACAGCAAAGCCCTGATTGATCATATTTATGTGGAAGCATCCTCAGGTAGTGTAGATTCAAGTTTGTTCAAATCATGACCCCCGGGGGTAGGGTGGGGCCACAATGGAGGATGAAAGTCTGAAATAGAAATATATAGGAAGATATGTTCTGATGAAGAACTGCAAAGCCATGATTAGTCATTTTGATATGGAAGCATCCTCAGGTAGTGTAGATTCAAGTTTGTTAAAATGATGACCCCAGGGGATAGGGATGGGCCATAATGGGGGATCGAAAATTTTACATAGGAACATATAGGAAAATATCTTCTTCTCAAGAACTGAAAATCATGTTTAGTCATTTTGATATGGAAGCATCCTCAGGTAGTGTAAATTCAATTTTGTTCAAATGATGACCCCCGAGGGTAGGGTGGGGCCCAATAAGGGGATCGAAAGTTTTACATAGGAACATATAGAAAAAAAATTCTTCTCAAGAACAGAAAAGCTATGTTTAGTCATATTGATATGGAAGCATCCTCAGGTAGTGTAGATTCAAGTTTGTTCAAATGATGACCCCTGAGATAGGGAGAGCCACAATGGGGGATCAAATTTTTACAGAGGAATATATGGGAATTTTTTAAAAAATCTTCTCAAGTACAACAAAGCCATTTGTTAAAACAAATTAAACAAATTATATATTGACATGGAAGCATCATCAGGTAGTTTACAATTCAAGCCCCCCCCCCCCCCCCGTAATCTTTTCAGTACTGAACTGATTTGTGCTTTTGCCTTGCCAATGTGCTCAGGTGAGCGATGTGGCCCATGGGCCTCTTGTTTTATTGTACACAGTAAAATATCTTTAATAAGGGCAATGCTGGTTGAAACTCTCTTTTTTGCAGAAAACAACTGAAATGACCAATATCCTTTTAAAAACAGTCGAATCTGACTCCGGCACTAAAAAACAATTCAGTGCAACTGACGTACAGCAAATCTCGTCTGCTTTGGAAAGTGTCACACGAAGCCCAGCCTACATTACTACTGAGTCGGCGGTAAGTTTGAAATAATAAACAAAGAAACTAAATAGGTAATATTGTTGTTCCATTTTTCAAACATTTCTTTTATAATTACCTCATAAAGTTATAAAGTTCTAATCTTAAATGAAAGTTTAATATGCACACTGTTTTAGATAGGTCTTACCGTCTTTGCGTAAGCAACACTTTTATATCTTTTTTACAGAATGCATCAACTTCAGTAACAAAGGTCATGATGGAGAGTGTGTTCAGAACATCCCAGACCAAGCCATTCCCTGTGGAAAGTCTTGAAAGCATGAAGAGTGCTCTTTTCAGTGAGTATATTGTAATGTCCTACATGTTGTCCTTTTTGTATCCATTTCAGATGTTAGAAGGTATCTTTTTCCCATGAAATAAAAAACAATGAAATAATAAAAAGACAGATAAAGTTTCTTGAAATGTTTAGAAAACATAATTACTTATAAATAGTTTATCAAAGATTTATCTATACAATGTATAATATAAAATCTCCTATTTTCAGGTACTATTAAGGTTTTGAATAACATTTTGACCTCTATGCTGCCCACTACTGTGGATGACATTACGTCAAGGATCACCTTAGACTCCATCATTGCTGAATTGACCACGAAACAAAAACGAACACAAAGTCATGCAGACCATTCAGGGACAACACAGTCCCCCATGACAACTGAAGAAATACGAACAAAGGCTAAACTATTGTACGATATCAGAATTGAGAAACAAGAAAAGCAAAAACAACAGGCAGCATTTGTACGTTTAAATTTTTTAACTGATTTATTTGGTACTTTACTTTTCTTAATAGTATGTAATGCTCATGATTTAAAAAAATTCTTATCAATTCGTTGATATATCTATTCAATATGTACCTGATAATGAAATTTACGTTACAGGCAGAGAATAATATAGCTAAAATCGAAGATGCGCTGAAAGATATGAAAAAGATTCAATTACTACAGCAAGAAGTTGGGGAAGGTGCTTCTCTTTTGTCCCAAGATGGTCTAGATGTCAGCACTGAGAAGGTTACTTTTGAAAGAATCATGAACAGAACGGAACAGTATATAAAAGGAATACAGTTGGATTTTGAAGCTGAAAGAAATAACACGAACAGAGACGAGCAGACGATACTTGATATTCAGGTACTTAAAAAATATATGAAAAGATAGGGGACTGAATTACATAAAAGAAGTGATATCCTAGCATATAGAAAAGATTCTTCTGATTGAACCATTCTATGTAATTATATTTGTTTACGTTTATTTTGGAGAACTACATATGTTACTACCAAATATATTTGAAAAATGAATCCGGAATTAATTTCTTTTTTTATAAACATGGTGCATTGGTAAAATTTCTTATTAGTATGTTAGGGCAATATACAAATACAAACTTAACGATGTTACAGATTGAACAAAATTTAAAAATAGAGTATATGTCTGTGTATATGATAGCTTAGCAAATATAATCCCTCATTTCGTAACGGGAAAAAATACATTACCTTTGACACTTTTTTTCCACTTAACACTTAAAATTAGGTTGTTGTCCATGACAAGAACCCGTATATTTTTGGACAATCTTATGAAGCTTCTGCTGTGACATCTAATGTGACGTCAGTCGTTGTCAGTGGGGATATCAGACCAGATGTAAAATTCATAAATAAAAATATTAAACAGTATCAGGATCATAGTCCAAAAATGGATCCCAAAGACCCGAAGAAAATCATTTATATCAAATTCGAAATGAAAAACGAGGGGGATGCTGTAATAGTTTATATCAGACCACACGGTATGGTCCTTGATGATCGGAGTACCCATATATTCTACAATGTGTACCTGGGAGACGTGACGTTTCTTAGCTCTTCCTCATTCGACTTTTTTGAGACGTTAAGTATCAGCGACTGGACTCCAAATTATGGATTCAAAACTTTTTTAAAACAAGGTTGTCGCAAAGGTTCATGTTATATTGGCATAGAACAAATGGAAAGTAAGTATTTAACAAACGATTTAGATATTTTAAAAATCTAAATATGTATTGTATATGCATGCCGGGGGTCTTAACAGTATAAACCCAAGGAGAAGGGGAAGGTGTTTTTTTTTTTTAATATTTATATGCCGATTGGAAAATTTCAAAAAAATGTACGAAAAGCCCCATCTTGCCTCTACAGAAATAAAAATTTCAGGTTTGGTTTGCAAGGTATTGGCATTGAAATTGATTTTTTTTTTTTGGCTCATAAGGATATCAATAAAGTACTATCTCTTAATCCTTCCAAAGCTTTGCTGTTTATGCCCCATCTAAAAGAAAAAGAAAATAAAAGCTTTCTTGATTTATTGCATATGTGATCTTTTATTGAATTTAAAACTGTGTCTTATCACCCTTATCAAAGAAGTTTTAAGGTTTGTTACCTCTACAAATCTAAAAAAAAATCTTTCAAGGCGCCTACGTAGGTGAAGTTTTGATGAAGTGTTATTGAATCAAGGGACGCACAATTTCCAATCTGCTCATAATTAAGAGTAGAGAAACTTTGAATTAATTGATGAATGGCTTGAATTATACTGCATAAGAGCTTAATTGTTTGGAGAAATACGATAAAATAATTGAGATTTTTATCAATTAGTGAAGGACTACAGCTCTTCTGCTGTAAGAAACAGGCGAAAGCGTCAGGCATCTGTTACAAACCCGAGCCCATTGAACTCAACTTTGGAATTTACAGTCGCCAATTTCAGTTATATTATCGTCACCACTGGATGCAGACTTTGGGACGCCAAAGGAAAATCTTGGGATTCAGATGGATGCAAGGTATTTTAACTACCCAAATTTTTTTTTTCATTTACTAAATGAAAGCTATTTGAAAAGAAAGATATTAAATATGATGCGTCCTGCATTAAAAGATTCATTTTTGAATTCAACAAAATTTCGATTTTTGGTGTTTATACTACTAGGTGAAGCTCAAGTTTTGTTTTTTCTGCAGGTTTTACCAATGAGTAATATTAACGAAACAATCTGCAGATGCCCCGATCCTTCAAAAGGGAGCATTTTCGCCTCCACTTTTTACGTACCATCCAACGAGATCGATTTCAACACTGTGTGGAATAAAATTGATCTTTCAAATGCAGCTGTTTACGGAACAGTGATTGTTCTTCTGGTTGTTTACGCCATATCAGCGATCCTTTTACGAAGAGAGGACAAAAAAGATATTGAAAGGGTATACACCTCCCTCATATTTCAAAATATGGAAATTATACCTTTTCTATGCGCATATATGGGCCTTATGACAAAAAGTTAACACGAGTATGTTGCTTGAATGTTTATTTCAATAGAGTTGTTGAACTGAATATTGAAATTGTTTAACTAGATGGTTAGCATTTCTAGGAACCATTCTATGGAATGACATATAATATAAGATAAATGTCATTATTGGTAGTAGATCGCATTAGTATGAAATAAGGATTACATGTATAAGATAGATTCTTCTTTTATTGGTTTATCATAGATGCTGTGTATGCATATGTGCAAACACAACATGTTCAATCAAACATAAAGTAATCATTCTTTGATAATCTAATCATAAATTTCTTTTATGTTAAAAAAGCTAAATTAAACGAATTAACCATGTATATTGACCATGTATTATTTCATTCAATCAATATTTTTAAAAAAATACTATTATTCTAAACTTCTTTCTACGATAACACAATTACATGTATATACCGTTTGTTATGATCTTCCTTTTTTGGAAGTGGGCCATCCATTTCTAGGTGGACAGTGATTCTTCCGATGATTATTTCTACATAATAACCGTACACACTGGTCTCTGGCGCGGGGCAGGAACAAAGTCCGTGGTCAATTTTGTCGTGGTGGGTGAGGAAAACGACTCCGGAGTAAGAATCCTCAGCGACGGTGTAAAAGAAGTACGTCTTTCGATTTTTTTCAGCTTACCTGATTTGAGAGCTCAATTGAGTTTTTCTGAACACATTTTGTCCGGCGTCCGTCTGTGTGTCCGACTGTAAACTTTTTACATTTTCGACTTCTTCTCAGGAACCACTGGGCCAATTTTTAACAATATTTGCCACAAAGCGTCCTAGTGTGAAGGGGATTCAAGTTTGTTCCAATGAAGGACCACACCCTCTCTCAAGGGGGAGGGGGTATATTAGGAATTGGTGAAAATTTTGTGTCATCTTTTGAAAATCTTCTTCAAAAAACACAGGGCCAGAAAATTTGAATCTTTTATAAACATTCAAAATGATTCAAATTTGTTTAAACATGATCCCCGGGGGAAGGGTGGGGCTACAATGGGGTTAAAAGTTTTACCTAGGAATATATGGGAAAACAAGCTTTTAAACAAGCTTTTAAAAATCTTCATCTCAAGTACAACAAAACCATGATAAGTCATCTTGAAGCATCCTCAGATAGTGTAGATTCAAGTTTGATTAATCAATGGGGGTAGGGAGGGGCCACAATAGGGGATCAAAGTTTTAAATAGGAATATATACATAATATAGGAAATATCTTTAAAAATCTTCTCAAGAAAAACATAGCCACGATTAGAAATACTTGTGTATTGATATTGAGGCATCCTCAGGTAGTGTAGAATCAAATTTGTTCGAATCATGACCCAGGGGATAGGATGGGGCCACAATTGGGGATCAATGTTTTACATAGGAATTTATAGAAAAAAATCTTTAAAAATCTTTTATTCCAGTAAAGCTTATATCTTACAGTTTATCACAGAAAACGTATAAAAAGCATTAACCTAAGTTGGCGTTTTACCTGAGCTCCAAAAATCAGGATTTCTGATAAAATTCCGTAAGTCGACGGTCTTCAGATATTGATGACCTTAATAATTTTAACCTGCTAAACATTATGCATCATCAAGTAGAGAAATTTCTTATCATGATATCAGACAACACTCATCCCACCTAAATGAACAAATCAATAATATACTCATAAATTAATGCAATAAACTTTAGTCATCAAATGTTTCAACAAACTATATACACATACACAGTAAATCAAATAAGTAACATCATTTCACTTGTCAAATAAATAGAAAAGCATGCAATTGTTGGTTTTGATGGAGGGTTTTACAAGCGGTGACCATCAAAGGCAGGAGGAGGTCCAAAAAGGTCCAATATTATTTGAAAATGTACTGATAAAAAACCCTTAAACTATTTTTCGAATAATAATTCTGAAGGCTGCAAATTATTAAACTAAACTGCTAATAATCACACGGAGAACGGTTAAAGTTGGTGTGTGTCCTTGTCCTGTGTTCAGAATTTATCATACCAGAGAATGAATGTTTCGCAGGGATGGTTGTAATGCTGTAGAAAAATACGATTTGTCGAAAACATTATTTAAATAGAGAAACGTCTTATAAAAGTTCTTGCATGCAATGTCGTGATTTCGTGTTTAAAAAATAACAAGGGAGTTTAATTTTGCAGATATTTCTTCGCTTTTCATATGTAGGTAGGTTTCCAATTCCTTCTTTCAATACATAATTTGGTTAAACCTCTAAAACGTGTTGCAGGGATTTGACACTGGAAGTGTAAAGAAGTTCATAATGGGTACAAAAGAGCAACTTGGTGAATTAACTTACCTACGTATATGGCATGATAACTCTGGTTCAGAGAATTATAAGAATTGGTACCTCAACAAAATTGTAGTCGACGATCCTCAAACAAATACCAGGTATTTATGAAAGTATCTTTCATTCATAATTAATGTCAATACTTTTTTCAAAGAGCCAGGTACATCAGTAGTGGAATTCGGCCCTTCTTTGAAAATTAAAAATAATCATAGAGAAATGACTTGAGAATGTACACTTTATAAATATATCAACAATTCTAATCTCTCTTTTATAGTTTAATTGCAATAACCCTCTGAAGATGGGATGTATTTTATTGCATTTACCCGCTTTGAGCACTATGACGTCATTATTGCCGTCAATTTTGAATTATATTAAAAAAAAAAAACAATTTTTATGTACCATTGTATTTTAAATGTAAGAGATGTTAAACTTTTTACGTACATTGCATTGTTTATTTACTTCAAAGAAAATATTGCACAAAAAAACGTTTTAATTGAAAGAATTTATTACCTCCATAGTGTCGATTCATCTGAATATCATATCTGCAGTCAAAATTGCTTGCTTAATGTGCAGTCCGTTTTTCTCAACATTTTTTTAAAATTTTTTCCCCGGAACGTTAAATAAAAGATAGACAATGCAAAAAGATCATTGAAATTTAATTTTATTAACAAACATGAACAGTAAAATATAACTTTCTTTAGCATTAATTTTGACCTATTTGCAATTAGGTTCAAATTATAATATTAAAATACCAAACATCTCCCTTTAAAAACAACAATTGAAAACAATATTAAATTATTTATGCAAAATAGAACAATGGGCAGCCCAAAAATGGACAGGAATTATATAATCAGGATTTAATAATATTACTAACAACTCAGGAACGATGTATCGGGGGGGGGGGGGGCCCTTTTTTTTAACATTACCTTTTTGGGTCACCTGAGTCACTCAGGTGACCTATTGCTATCCGTTTTTGTCCGTCGTCGTGCGTCGTCCGTCGTGCGTTAAGTTTTGAACATTTTCAGCTTCTTCTCTAAAACCGCTCAACCAATTTCAACCAAATTTAGCATATAGCATCTATGGGTGAAGGAGAACAAAAATTGTGAATTTCATGGTCCCTGCCCCCCTGGGGCCTAAGGGGTGGGGCTAAAACCACCAAAATTAATGCAATCTTTAAAAATCTTCTTCTTTACTCCTGGACATCAACCAGTCAAACTGTTGGCAGGATTGTAATAAGCACTGAGTCCTCTACCAAAATTGTGAAATTCATGGTCCCAGGGTCAGGGGTTCTGGTGCAAGGGTTGGGCTATATAGATCATATAGTGAAAGTGCATTATTTCTTTGAAAATCTTCTTCTCTGCTCCTGGGAATCAAATAAACTAAGTACATAGTTATGAAGAGCAAGAGTGCCTTATCCAAAATTGGGAATTTCATGGCCCCAGGGTCAGGGTTCTGGTGTTAGGGCGGGGCACTATTGATTACATAGTGAAGATGCATTATTTCTCTGAAAATCTTCTTCTCTGCTTCTGGGTATCAAATAAACTAACTAAATACATAGTTATGAACAGCAACAGTGCCTTATCCAAAATTGGGAATTTCATGGCCCCAGGGTCAGGGGTTCTGGTGTTAGGGCGGGGCTCTATTGATTATATAGTGAAAATGCATTATTTCTTTGAAAATCTTCTTCTCTACATGTACTCCTGGGTATTGGATAAACTAACTAAGTACATAGTTATGAAGAGCAAGAGTGCCTTTTCCAGAATTGTGAATTTCATGGCCCCAGGGTCAGGGTTTCTGGTGTTTGGGCGGGGTACTGTTGATTATATAGTGAAAATGCATTATTTGTTTGAAAATCTTCTTCTCTGCTTCTAGGTATCAAACCGCTCACGGTAACTCAGTCGGTAGAGCGCTCGTTCCGTGATCGGGAGGTCGTGAGTTCGAATCTCGGCCGCGACTGACCTAAGTCGATAAAAAATGGGTAGCAACTGTTCCTTCGCCATGCGCTCGGCACTTTGATGTGAAAGTTGCGGGTCCTTCGGATGAGACCTTAAAAATCGAGGTCCCGTGTCACGGCAGACGTTGGCACGATAAAGATTCCTCACTGCTCAATGGCCCCGAGTGCCGAGTAGAGGTCAAAATTTGAAGCCCTTCACCGGTATATGGTGACGTCCCTATATGAGTGAAACTACAATCAATCAATCTGGGTATCAAATAAACTAACTAAGTACATAGTTATGAAGAGCAAGAGTGCCTTATCCAAAATTGTGTATTCCATGGCCCCAGGATCAGGGTTCTGGTGTTAGGGCGAGGCTCTATTGATTATATAGTGAAATGCATTATTTCTTTGAAAATCTTCTTCTCTGCTCCTAGGTATTAAATAAACTAAGTAAGTACATAGTTATGATGAGCAAGAATGCCTTTTCAAAAATTGTGAATTTCATGACCCCAGGGTTAGGGTTCTGGTGTTAGGGCGGGGCTATATAGATCCTATAGTGAAAGTGCATTATTTCTTTGAAAATCTTCTTCTCTACTCTTGGATATTATCTAAACAAACTAAATACATAGTTATGATAAGCAATGATGCCTCTTCCAAAATTGTGAATTTCATGGCCCCTGGATCAGGGGTTCTGGTGTTAGGGTGGGGCTCTATTTATTATATGGTGAAAATGCATTATTTCTTTGAAAATCTTCTTCTCTGCTCCTCTGTATTTTTTAAACAAACTAAGTACATTGTTATGATAAGCAAGGATGCCTCTTCCAAAATTGTGAAATTCATGGCCCCAGGGACAGGGGTTCTGGTGCTAGGGCGGGGCTATATAGATCCTATAGTGAAGGTGATTTATTTCTTTGAAAATCTTCTTCTCTGCCCCGAGGTATTATTTAAACAAACTAAGTACATTGTTATGATATGCAAGGATGCTTCTTCCAAAATTGTGAACTTCATGGCCCCAGGGTCAAGGGCTCTGGTGAAGGGGGGGGGGGGCTCTATTGATTATATAGTGAAAAAGCAAAATTTCTTTGAAAGTATTTCTTTCTGCTTCTGGTTAAAAAGCAAAGAAGCTATGTGTATAGTTATGATGAGCAAGAGTGCTTCTTCCAGAGTAGTGAATTGCATGAGCCCTTGGTCAGATGTGCAGGAGTAAGGTTGGGGCTCTTGATAATATAATGAAAATGCATTAATTCTATTTAATTATCCTTTCTGCTCCATAGCGTTAAGCAGATAAACAAAGTGATTACTTATAATGAGCAAACGTCTGGTCCCAAGGTCAGAGGCTCTGGTGTTTCTCAGTGGGGAGGGGGGCTCTATTGATAATATAGTGAATCTGTGGTAAAAATGCATTATTTCTTTAAAATCTTCTCTGCACCTGGGCATATCAGAGCCAAAAAGAGTAAATGTTTTAATAAGGAAGGATATTTTTTACCAGATTTTTGAACATCTGGACCATTTGGTCAAGTGTTCTGGTCCTGGCAAGGGCTCTATTAATTTGTATTCTTCTGAGAGGAGTTATTCCCCTTTGCCATTTACTTTTGATAATTAATCACTGTAAATAATGTACTTGAAAGGTTAATAGAATAAGAGAATTATGCAAGAATTTTTATTGTATAATACTAAAAGTACTTTCATAGTTTTAATGATCAGTTCGACTTTTAAGTAATAGATAAATGAAAATGAGACGAAAATAACTTGTCTTATTCAATGTTCATCAAAGACCAAGAGAGGCCAATGTAAGAGTTTTCAACAAGGAATTAAAATAGTATAGAAAACTGATAGTTTGTTAATATACTGTATGGTGATGGTGATAAATGGAGAACAGATTAGAACCTAATTTATGAACTGTTACTGAATGCTAGACTTATTATTTTGTTGATCCTGATCATCCTATTTTTCTTGCTTTTGGGCAACAAAGCTTCATCACCTTTCAGTTCATTTTATACTCTATGGATTCTCTAAATTGTTGTATTATACTCAAGTGACCGTTAAGGCCCTTGGGCCTCTTGTACTATTGAGAATGTTCACTGAAAGGCTATTAGCCCCCCCCCCCCCCCAGCTGTTTGTTGCAGCTGAGTCAAAATCAGAGTTATGTGGTAATGTATGAAAAAAATTGACTGTGGAAGAAGTTTAGAAGTCGTCCCCCACCAGATAGGATTTTCGAGTTTGATTCTGACCCCACCCCCCTTTTTTTTATTTAAATCGATACTATGTGTCTGCAACTTAAGAAATATCTATAGTAAAGATCATTGACTTTAGAATCCTGAAATTCTAATTTACTCCAAGGTTTGTTTATAGTAAAAACATATTATAGGTTAGAGTCGGAGGCTCTAGGTGACATGCCTTCATCATTGCTACCAGTATTTTCTTTTAATATACGATGACCTTTCAAATTGATCTTTGAGTCTGGACCACTGACAAAGGTGTCAACTAACGAAGAAAAAATGAAAAATCATCTTCCTAACTTCATCAGTGATTTTTAACAATGAAAAAAAATAACTTACCTGACTTTGATTTTTATAATAAATAAAAATACTAATCTGACTTTTGTATTTTGATTTTCATAACAAATAAAAACACCATTGTCCAAAGACTTTTTTTAACAACCCTTGTATACAGCATTATTGACACGAATGGCGCATCTTCTGGTCCAATCGACCTTCTTGGGCCTTTCCGACAAGCGGAGGGCCCGCGATGACGCAATTGATTTTATTTCTTCGAAGTACGTATATTTGAATGTCAATCTTAGTTACATATTCATCATAGTTGAAATTGTTTGAGTACAGAAAAAAGGTAACGGCATTTTAAATTAATTATCATGTACATGAAGTACAAGGAAAAACGAATGAATTTTCAATTAAGAACCAAAGAAAAAAGAATACAGTTTTTTTTCACAAATGATGTTGAAGTTATAAATTGTCAACAAGTCTATATTCGTTGATGCTATTAACGAAAATTCTTTTTAGAATAAATTAGATCTACTATGCAACACGAGTTCATCTTTTATACATCGACCTCGAATGGAGATGGAACATTAAAGTTTATACCAATACTCCTCAACATTAATACACACATCAACCAGGTTCATGTTGAATTTATTCCTCTCGTGGTTTCAGATTTAGAACCTGACTGTTGATCATTTTGGGAAACAACACCAAGAAATTATAATTTGAAATATGAGTATATCAGTGACATAGCATTGTTTTTGAAATTGTGTATAGGGAAGGGGGGGGGCAGCCTGAGAATTTTATTTTTTTTCTCAACTTTTCAACTTACCCGAAAGAAACTTGACGAGCAAAAAAAATGTACACGCTCGAAAATGCTATTTCGTGGAGGGGGCCTAACTTCTTTCAGTACCAAATTTTTTATTTAACTACACTGCAACAAAAAGATGGGGGACACTTCACTGAACATTTGCTATGGTAAAAATTATGTCTGGAACCCCCCCCCCCCCCCCCGATTATACGTGCCTGTATCTATTTGTGGATTATAAAAACTATTTTCATCTCTCTCTTAAAAAGAAAATATCTTCCTGGTACGTACTTCACCTGAGTTGGTGGCGACAGGGGATTTCAAAAGCAAGTCGTTCGGGGGCACCTGCAGATCCCCAGTAGTTTTACTTCCCCTATTTCTGAGATTTTCAGTATGATATATAAGCTTATAAATAGTGTCCTTCTTGGTTAACTTTAGTTTTGCAAATGAAATTAAATATACAATATTTTGTATATTTTATTTGCTAAAATTAAGAATATCAAGAATGACAATAACCTAAAATGACAGCCAGGTGCCCCCTCCTACAAATGAGTATCAATTTATATAACAACATAATATAAGAAGATATTTTTATTATTAATATATTTTGATTAAGTAAGAGTCAATGGATATAGATTTTAGAGAGTTTTTACTATCCAAAAAGGGGGAGGGTGTAATGACTGAGTTAGAATTCAAAGTTGTCGCATTCAGAAGTTTCCATTATAATGGGTATCATTTTAGTCATTTATTTATTCTCATCTTAAATTTTCTGAAGGAAAACTTTATAGGTAAATTTAATTCCCCCTTACTCTTTCTCCTTCAATTTACTCTCTTTTTTCATTGTTTTTAGGAACATATATATAGCATATACTTATAAACTCTACTGTTCTCAACTAAGTATCACTTCAGTTGTTTTTTGAAAAGACATAAATCATAATAAAAGGATTTCTAACTGATGTATAAGATATATATGAATTTAATTCATTTAATTCATTGAAGGATTTTCATTTCCAACTTAAATTAAAATATATTAGGTATATTCATGTACAAATAAAGCTTTTGGAGAAAGGGTTGTTAGTGCTAAAATATTTTTAAAAAATCACTTTTGCATTGAAAAATGTAAACTTTCCAGTACATGTATTTTTACAGACGTAAATTTGAGATATATTACATCTGAGCGCTGTTTTCTTTTACTATGAAATTTCTTAATAAATAATCTTTTATAAATGTTTGATTAAAGTGACACTGTGACGGAAAAAGGGGAAAACTGACAAAAGTAGAATTTTTGGATGACACATGCAAATTTTATTCAATTCTTGAAGATATTAGGTTTCAGAAAATTACAGGTTTCAGAACCTAAAAAATCTACTTTTTTGGAGAAAAATAAAAGTAAAAATAATTTTTGTTTGCCCCAACACAAAAATATTGCTTCTTTTCTTCCTCTTTATTGTACGCATGCTCAGAAAAGTTGAAGAATTTACCATGGTGTCAATTCCATAGATATAAATATCGGATGACTGAGGATTTTGATAAATCTTCAATAAAGATGATCAGAACTTATTTCTCACTTCTATTTGCTCCAATTCAATGTTGTTTACAAGTTTCACGCTAAAAATAAAAGTCGCTCGACCTTGACATTGTTGACATTGACGATAACAACAAAGTGGTAGATACAACCTTTGTTTTTCCAGTTTTCCAGTTTTATATTTTGCAGTTCTTTTTCTTGCTTTACAGTGCAGTTGAGATGTCAACACTTCGCTTTAGTCATAAATCTTTTGTTTTATGATACAATTATCTTAAAAGAAACACATGATTTTGACTCATTATGTAACTTTAAACAACGGTATTGTTTATAGTGAAATATCAAACGAAATACCAAAGTATGGAAAAAACTTTTGGCACGTCACTGTACGTTGTTAATGTAAACAATTTCGATGTCTATATTCAGAGTAAGCTATACAACCTAGAGACGTTAGGTTTTTGCCTTAAAGTTCACGTAAGATGTGTATAAAAAATCATCAACCACAATAACATTTCAATTATACCCTTGTACAACACACTTTCTAAGATTTAGACGTTATAATATTATGTATACATTGTACATGTAAGTATGTTTTGCTTGTTCCGGATTGTCGTTGCCTGGAATGAAAACGAAAGTAAAAAAGGTGGTCGCGACAACGAATTTTGAACAACTGAATTATTAAATTAATTCTTTATATCATTTAGATTCTCTACAAAGTAAACATGCATCCTATTGTTATTCATTTTCTCATTATTAAAACACCCATCTAATTCCATTCCGCTCATGTCAAGATCCGTAAAGCAGACGACTGATAGCATCAGAATTTTACAAAATTCACTGTGGCCGCAGCCCACGGCCAGAACAAAACCTGTATAAATCAACCCCTTTTATGTTAAAGTATTTCTGGTTAAAATATTTTTGTGGTCGATGCTTGCGGCCACATCGAATTTTCCCAAAAACCGAGTGAAAAGTGAAAAAAAAATTGCTTGTTTTCCGGATACGGCATAGGTTTGGGTACTACATAACAGCACACAAAGCTTGGATCCGCCCAAATAATTACATGTACGAAGACTTTGGTTCATAAACTTTACAAATATACATGGATAAACATATTTTTTTTATGTATTTTGCAGGGCCTATTGACATTATCTAACGTACCTGGCTCTTTGGTAAAATAATATCTAAAATAATGTTTCTAAATAGATATGTCTTCCTTTGCAATCGATGGCTGGCATTGGATCAAGACGATGGTCAGGTGCACAGGGTTGTCCCGGTTTGTGGAATGGATAATCTGCTGGCGTTCAATACTCTTTTTGCCCAACATGCAGTGTTTAATTTAACAGAAAATCACCTCTGGCTCTCCCTAATGATCCGTCCAGAAAGAAGTTCATTCACAAGAGTTCAGCGGCTGTCATGCGTGCTTGCTCTATTATTCTTAACAATGATTGCAAACGCAATGTTCTTCAAATCATCCTCAGAGGAACAAAATAGTAATGAAGTCCAGATTGGATTTCTGCGGTTCTCCATGTCATCGGTTTATGTGTCTATGATTGGCATTGTTTTAACAACGCCTCCAATCATATTTGTTACAATGGTATTCAAAAAATGTAAACCGAAGGTTGAAATAAAACACAAACACGTGAAAAAAGACCAAGAGCTTGACAAAAAAGTCAAAGAAAACATGTACATAGAATTGAAAAAGAGATGTTTTAATGGAGAAGATTTGTTCACCAACGACAATCTCCCTTTACCACACTGGATGGTCTATGCTGCCTGGGTAGTCGTTTGGCTAGCTGTGATAATCTCGGCATTTTTCCTATTCCTGTATAGTATGGAGTGGGGCAAATCAAAGGCTGAAGAATGGCTCTCTTCTTTTTTCCTTTCATTCGTTCAATCCTTGATTTGTGTTGATACTTTAAAGGTACTTTTATGCTAGATTCTTTCATTAAAGATTCATACGGAATATGCAAAGAACAAATGTTTGACAATTAATAAAATTAAGATCATGAAATGAGTAAAGCCAATATGCAGAAAAATCATATGAACTTTTTTTTTCAGGTTATAATAATAGCAGTTTTACTTGCAATGCTCGTTAAGCAACCCGCAGACGGTGAAACTCCGAAAATGGATTTAAACAAGCTGAAAGCGACAGCATCTCAATACAATTCCGGGTCAGAGAGCAGTTACATGGGTAACGGAAATAAGCATATTATTATATAGAGATATACATGTATATATTATATTAAATTTAGAATAATACTTTATCACTCTCTATTCTGTACGTGCATGTGTAATACATACAAAATAATTTGACTTCATTTTCTCCTCTTCAAATAATGTCCTTGTTAAAACGCAAATGATTGATTTAAAGAAACTCAATTTGACTATAGGCATTGTAAACAAATATATTCAGTCGCCTGTGTGGTGCAGTGATTAGAGCGTCTGCTCTAAGTCGCGGAGTAAGGAGTTGATCCTTACGTCGCGGGTTCGAATCCCACTGTGGGACGTGGAGAATAGTCCTTCGGATGAGACCGTATGAACCGAGGTCCCGTGTCGCACTAGTAGCTGGCACGAAAAAGATCCCTCACGGCTCAATAGCCGTAAGTGCCGAATATAGGACAAATTTTGCAGCTCTCCACCGGCAAATGGTGACGTCTCCATATGAGTAAAACATTCTCGAGAGGGACGTTTAACAACATACAAACAAAAAAACCCAAATATATTCAACAGATGACATTTATTTTGCAGATTTCGTGAATGGGATATTTAACAAATCAGAACCGCCGCTTCAGTCAGATATGGAAAACCTCAGACAGAGAAATAATCAAGAACTTAAAGCGCAGGAGGCACTGCTGAACCTCATATTTTATACCATCTTCCTGTTCGTTATCTACAGTATCAGCTACATTCAGCGAGACCATAGAGCCTTTTTCATGAAGTCCAACGTAGATAATTACTTGGTTCGCCATGGCAACGGACAGCTGGGCTTCTCAGGGGTACGTAATGTACTGTGGAATCATCAATGTTCGTCGGGGAATTTTTGGGTCACCCTTATCCACGAACTCGCATCTCCACGATCAATTATTTTGTGAACATATTTATTCATTGAATTTTCTGTATATAGCGGTTACCCACGAAATTACCACCCCACGAACCAATACAACTTTGCTTACCCACGAACACTGACCCCCAGGAATATTAAAATAATTTCACAGTATCTTAGTTATCCAGCAATACACCTACAGATACTTTTAAAACAATTTTATTGAGTTAAACACACGATACAATATTAGTCAGTAGAACGAAAGAGGTGCTGCAATATGGAAGCGATTTTGTCGAAAAAGGTAGCTGTCACAGTCGTGGTAGCTTGAACCCTTCAGAGATGAAGTTATAAGACATGAAATAACATATAGAGATAGAGATGATTTAATTTAAAAATTGATTTCGAGTATAAATGAACAGTATGACTGCAATGAAAGAAATAGCACTGATTTCATTTTTAATTAAGAGATTTTTTGTCCAAAGAAGATGTCTCCTTTTTAGCTCACCTGAGCCGAGGGCTCAATTATGCTTTTCTGATCACATTTTGTTCGGCGTCCGTCTGCCTGTCTTTCTGTAAACTTTTTACATTTTCGACTTCTTCTCAAGAACCTTATGCCAAATTTAACTAAACTTTTCACAAAGTTTTCTTGGGTGAAGGGGATTCAAGTTTGTTCGAAAGAAAGGCCACGCCGTCTTTCAAGGAGAGATAATTAAGAATTAGTGAAAAATTAATGGCATCTTTTTCTACTCTAGAATCACTGGACCATTAAAGATGGAACTTATGTGGAAACATCCTCAGGCAGTGTAGATTCAAGTTTGTTCAAATCATGACCCTGGGGGTAGGGTGGGGCCACAATGGGCGATTAAAGTTTTATATAGGAATACATAGGAACATTCTTTAAAGCTTTTCTTCTCAAAAACAGCAAAGCCATGATTTGTCAAATTTGAATGAAAGCATCTTCGGGTAGTGCAGATTCAAGTTTGATCAAGTGATGACCCCGGGGGTAGGGTGGAGCCACAATGGGTGATCAAAGTTTTTCATAGAAATTTAGAAGAAAAAACTCTAAAAATCTTCTTCTTGAGGACGGCAAAGGCATGATGTGGAAGCATTCTCAGGTATTGTAGATTCAGGTTTCTTCAAATCATGACCCCTTGGGTTAGGGTGGGACTATAATAGACGATCAAATCTTCTCAAGTACAGCAAGGTCATGATTAGTCATTCTGAAATAGAAGCATCCCCAGGTAGTGTTTATTCAAGTTTGTTCAAATGAGGCCCCCCGGGTGTTGGGTGGGGCCTCAATGGGGGATCAAATTTTTACAAAGGAAAAGGAAAAATCTTTTTCTCAAGAACAGAAAAGCCATGACTAGTCGTATAGATATGGAGACATCCTCAGGTAATTTGTTCAAATGAGGGCTCCTGGGGGGTAGGGAAGGGCCACAATGTGGTATCAAATTTTTACAAAGGAATATATAGGAAAAAAATCTTTAAAAATCTGCTAAAGAACAGCAAAGACATTTGTTTTATTGATATGGAAGCATCATCAGGCCCGAAGACCATAAACTGAGAACAGACTTAAGTAAAAATTTCGAACCGATAAAACTTTTGAAATAATTTTGATAATGAAACAAAATTTTTATAATATATTTGAATTTAAAAGTTATATAAAATTGCAACTTTTTAAGCAAATATGTTAAATAAATTTCAAGATATTCAAAATCAAAATTTTGACTTAAGTCTATTCTCAGTTTATGACAAGTCTATTCTCAGTTTATGACCTTTGGGCCAGGTAGTTTAAAATTCAAGTCCCCAAATGTTCCAATACTTAACTGATTTTTTTTATTTTTATTCCAAGCCAGTGTGCTCAAGTGAGCGACGTGGCCGATGGGCCTCTTGCTAAATATTAGTTTACAAGGAAATTTTTTGTCAAACAAAGATGTGTACTTAATAAATAATAGTTTAAAAGGAAATCCGTAGACAATTCAGTGTAAATAATGTTTAACAATAACTATGAAAAAAAAACCCAGACATCATTCGACTTAATGATAGATTACATTTGCTGACAAGGTCATTTTATCGACTATTACCATCAATAGATACGCAAAATTATTCCTAAGATTTATATACATGCATTTACAATGTAATTAGCTTGTAAATTTGGTTAAATATATTGTACATTAAATATTTGTGTGCACTTTCAAGTAAATCCGTGAAACAGGTTTCACTCATATAACATCATATATTTATTGAACAGATCAACAAAACTGCAGACCTCTTCTCATGGCTGAATCAGACATTCATCCCCACCTTTTACCCTGAGAACCGTTACTCCGGTGCTTCCCTTGGAGTACAAGATAAACAGTATTTTGGGGATCTAGCAAGTATCCGAGTCGGACCGGGACGCCTCAGACAAGTCCGTATGAAGAAAGGTATTCCATAGATTCTAGTATTTATAATCGTAAAACACGAAATTAATCAATTCATATATCATTTTTAGCTCACCTGAGCCGAAGGCTCAAGTGAGCTTTTCTCATCAAAGAGTGTCCGGCATCCGTCTGTCGTCTGTAAACTTTTCACATTTTCGACTTATTCTCAAGAACCACTGGGAAATTTCATCCAAATTTGCCACAAAGCATTCTAGGGTGAAGGGAATTCAAGTTTGTGCCGCGCCATCTTTAGATGGGAGATATTACGAATTCCTGAAAATTTAGTGGCATTTTAAAAATCTTCTTCTCAAGAACCATTGGGCAAGAAAGATGAAACTTATATGAGAGCTTGATTACATACTCTAGCTGCAAATTTGTTCATATCATAAACTCCAGGGGGTTGGACGGGGCCAGAAGAGGGGGTTAAAGTTTTATATATGAATTTATAAGAAATATCTTTAAAAATTTTCTTCTCGAGAACAGCAAAGCCACGATTAGTCATATTATTATAGAACTATCCTCAGGTAGTGTAGATTCAAGTTTGTTCCAACCACGACCCCTGGGGGTGGGGCAGGGCCACAACAGGGGGGTCAAAGTTTACCATAGGAATATATAAGAAATGTCTTTAAAAATCTTCTTCTCAAGAACAGCGAAGCCATGATTAGTGATATTATTACAGAACTATTCTCAGGTAGCGTAAATTCAAGTTTGTTCCAACCATGACCCCTGGGGATGGGGCACAGCCACGACAGGGGGGGGGGGGGGGTCAAAGTTTACCATAGGAATATATAGGAAATATCTTTAAAAATCTTTTTTTCAAGAACAGTTAAGTCATTATTAGACATATAAATACAGAAGTATCCTCGGGTACTGTAGATTAAAGTTTGTTCCATTCATGACTCCTGGGGGTAGGGCAGGACCACAACAGAGAGATTACAGTTTACCATAGGGATATGAAGAAACAATCTTCTTCTAATGAAATATATGGAACAGTATTCAAGCTCAAAAGTCCATTAAACATTACAAAATAGGAGCAGAGCAAACACGGACCTCCAAAACATCAGAGGTGGGATAAGGTGCCATGGAGGAATGAGCATCCCCTGCCGACCGGTCACACTCGCCGTGTGCTCCTTGTCATGTTCGGGAAATAACGGAAAAATCCGTCGACAATTCAGTGTGTAAATAATGGCCTAACATTTAGTATGAAAAACGTCAGTCAGCATTTGACTCAATGATAAGTTGTATTTGCTGACAAGGTGATTGTATCGACCATAAAACTTACGAAATGATGACTGCTGATATTCTTGTTTCATCAACTTGTTTGTCAATAATTTACCTCGTTTTAGAAATTTTACATACGTGGAGCATGCTCTTGCGTATCGAATCAACTGAGATATAAACCCCGTATGCAGGTGATGAAGGTATATTGCTGCATAAGTAAGGGAAGTTGACGATTGAAAAGTTAAAGTCATCACGTTTATCATAAAGCTTGGTTGTTAGATTACCATTAGCGTCTTTTTCAAGTAAAATATCCAAATATGAAACAGATGTATCATACTTTGTGTTATCTTTTATCTCAAGCTCACTGGAATATATCGTATCGACATAAGAATGGTGTAACCATTGTTAATTGACAATACGTCGTCGATATATCTAAATGTCGAGTTGAAGGCCACATCAAGTGTTTCTTCTTTTCACGTATAAGATTTTGGACAAATTCTGTTACCTGTGAATACAAAAAATAGGTCTGCTAATAATGGGGCGTAATTGGTACCCATGGAATTCCGATAGATTGTTGGAAGACTTAGTCTCCAAAAACCACATAGATATTGTCAATCAGAAACTCAAGCATCTTTTTAATTTCAACTTCAGAGTACTTGTGTGCTCAATCAGAATGTTTCTTAACAAAATAATTTTTCAAACGACCAATGAGAAGGTAATTAAATTTACGAGTTCCATTTTTATTGAAAAAGCAGCTTTCAATAATATCAAAAAGCCTGAACAACACTTAAGCCATTAATAGACATATTGATACAGAAGTATCCTTAGGTATTGTAGATTCACGTTGTTCAAATCATGACCCTTGGGGGTAGGGCGGGACCACAACAATGGATCAAGGTTTACATATGAATATATAGGTGTAAGGTGTAATGGTTAAGGGGCATTGGAATAAAACGCATTGAAGACTTCTAATAGTGGAATGACCTGACAGTCCTTGGAATGGACTAGCCGAAGGGTATATAAGGCAAAGCTTTGGAAAGTTAGGCATTCAGAAGGTAGCTGAAGACGTTGGATCATGAATCAGCAATAAGGAAGTTAAGGTATTCCATCCTAATAGCAAAAGATTCAATGAAATTGAATACAAAATAATAATATAATAAAAGCATGTATATAGCGCCTTATATAAAATGCATTACTCTAAGGCGCTGTACATTGTTCAAGAAATCAAAAAAAATGTCTCTAATATATACAAAAATTTAAAAAAAGAACCATAAAGTTCATAAAAACTTAAAACTATTATACAAGGTAATTGGTAGCATAAGAGAAAGCTATACTATTAAGATGCCAAGATAAGATAAACCTAAAAATTGCATACAATACACGTTGTGCCTAATTAAATAATATGTGGATAATAAATAAATACTGATAATGAGTTCAAAATAAAATTACACGTTGTATGCTATTTTAAAAAGATGAGTTTAAAGACCCCGTTTAAAAATTAAAAGTGACGTCGGAGCCGGAGCGCGTCAGGTAAATCATTCCACAATCAATCTTGCTGCTGCATGGTCAAATCAAAGAGTTCCATATTTCCCTTTGCGTGCACGAGGTTTCACAAGTTGTAAAGTGTTCCAGGAGCGTAGTGTCCTCGGCGGTTAATAGATTGTTAGAGTTCCTTTAAGTATGATGGTAAAGTATCCTGTAGTGCTTTAAATGTGTGTAAAAGGATCTTGTAGTATGTACAAAATACTGGAAGCCAATGAAGAGATATAAGGACCTTAAAGATATCGATGTGTTCATGGTTCTTAGTTCGAGTAACAATCCTTGCTGCTGTATTTTGAACCCTCTGTAGCCGTGATATATTGGTCTCTGTAATTCCATAGAGAAGCTCATTGCCATAATCAAGTCTAAATAAGACAATAGCAATAACCAAATTCTTGCAAGCGTCTTCAGTTATAAATGGACGAATGCGAATGATTTTTAGTAGGTGGTAAAAACAGGATTTGGACACGGCACTGATATGGTTCTCCATGGTAAGGGACTTGTTGAAAAACGTTTCTAATTTTGTTACGCAACCTGATTCAAAGTTGACAGTACCATCAAAATCAATTTGGTGTGTAAAAGATCTTTTAAGTTGACCCTTTGGTGTAAAAAAAGTAAAATCAGTTTTAACTTGGTTCAATTTTAGTATATTTGCGAACAGATACATAACAGCCCGCGTGGCGCAGTGGTTAGAGTGTTCGCTCTAGAGTCGCGGAGTTAGGAGTTGATCCTTACGTCGCGGGTTCCAATCCCACTGTGGAACGTGGACACCGGTCTTTCGAATGAGACCGTATAAACCGATTTCTCGTGTCGCAGTAGGTGCTGACACGAAAAAGATCCCTCACTGCTCAATTACCCTAAGTGCTGAGTATAGGTCAAAATTTGCAGCTCTCCACCGGCAATATGAGTGAAAAATTCTCGAGAGGGACGTTAAACAATAAACGAACAAACAAACAAACAGATACATAACAGATGTGTAAGTGTTGGACACTCAGTATATTTAGACACAATTCCCATTTATTACTATTAGCATGTAAGGGTGGGATGTGTCCTTATTTTGGTAAGAGTTATCTCCCTCTGTTTATAATTAATAAAAAATCAATTTTAAATTTCTTACCTCGTAAAAATAAATCATTTTCAATTGTCATTCTATTTCTAATGTGTTTTAGTGCATTTTTTCACAACAGTATTAATTAATGTTCTTTTATTTGAATTTTTATTTAAAAAAAAATACTTCATAGACTTCAGTGCAATCTTTGTTAAGTACTTAAGTTCTGGGTGTAGTAAATCTTAAGAAGATTGAGACACCCGGTTCATATCTATCAATGGGAACTTGGGGAGAAACACGGTGCAAATAGTACCTTACCCAGTCCCCATCTCTAGATGAAAGAAAAAAATTAAGTACTATGTGATAAAACCCTCAGACATTGCTGTCTATATATCCCTTGAAAAAATCTGATTATACACGTTACATAGGAAATATCTATGAAATTTTCCTCTGAAGAACAACTTAGCCATTATTGGACATATTTATATAGAAGCAACCTTAGGTATTGTAGAATCAAGTTTGTTCAAATCATGACCCCAGGGGTTGGGGCACAGCAGAGGGTCAGAGTTTGGCATAAGAATATATAGGAATCTTCTTGAAAAACTCTGCTGCTCAAGAACAGCAAAGCAATGATTAGTCATATCATAATAGGAGCATCCTCAGGCAGCAGAGATTCAAGTTTGTTCAAATTTACGATGGGTAGGGTGCGGCCACAATGACCAATCGGAGTTTTACATAGAAATACTTCGGAAAACATCATTAAAATTCTTCTGTTTAAGAACAGCAAAGCCATGATGAGTTATATTCATATAGAAGCATCCTGAGATAGTGTAAATTTAAGTTTAACCCCCCCCCCCCCTTAAAACTTTTCAATATACTGAACCTATTTCTGCTTCATCCTAGCCAGTGTGCCCAGGTTAGCGATGTGGCCCATGGGCCTCTTGTAAGCTCATCTAAGCTGAAGGCTCAAGTAAGCTTTTCTGATCTCATTTTGTCTGTAGACCGTCTGTCCGTCCGTCTGTCTATCGGTAAACTTTTCACATTTCTACTTCTTCTCCAGAACCACTTGGCCTATTTCAACCAAACTTGCCACAAAGCGTACTTGGGAGAAGGGGATTCAAGTTTATTCAAGCATCCTTAGGTAATTTATATTTAAGTTTGTTCAAATCATGACCCCAGGGGTAGGATGGGGCCACAAAGGAATTCAAAGTTTTACAGAGGAATATATGGGGGGGGGGGGATTTAAAAATCTTCTCAAGAACAACAAGGCCATGTTTAGTCATATTGAAATGGAAGTATTCTCATGTATCGTAGATTCAAGTTTGTTCAAATCATAACCCCCGGGGGAAGGGTGGGGCCACAATAGACGATCAAAGTTTTACATAGGAATATATAGGGAAACAACTTCAAAAATCTTCTCAAGAACAGCAAAGCGATGTAAAATCATATTGAAATGGAGCATTATAAGGTATTGTAGATTCAAGTTTGTACAAATGATGACCCTAAGGGGAAGGGAAGAGCCACAATGAGCGATCAAATTTTACATAGAAATATATAGGAAACATATTTCACAAGAACAGCAAAGCCATGTTTAGTCATATTTATATGGAATCATCCCCAGATAGTATAGATTCAATGACCATGGAGGGTAGGTAGGAGCCACAATGGGGTATCATTATTTTTACAAAGGAATATATTGGAAAAATTCTATAAAAATCTGCTGCTCAAGAACAGCAAAGCCATTTGTTATATTATGATATGGATGCATCCTCGGGTAGTTTAAAATTCAAGCCCCCCCCCCTTCCCATGTAAATTTTTTAATTCTGAACTCATTTGTGCTTTTTCCCAGCCAATGTAACCAGGTGAGCGATGTGGCCTACATGTATGGGCCATTTTTTGATTATATTTTTAATTTTATTTTTATGTATTCTCATTACAAAATTTTATAAATATTGTGTACTTAAATACAGTTCCCTAAGAGCAGATAGTTTATTGTTTGTTTGTTTTTTTAGAAAATGACTTGAAAAAAAACTTTTAAAATTATGCATATTTATTCTTAGGGGAATGTGATTACTATAAATTATCATGGCCGCGCTACTGTGTGAGTCACTATAATATATATCAAGAGGACGAAAGTGAGTACTGCCTTGGTTGGAACCCGTTTAACGCTACTGTTTGTGACACTACCGAATACAAAGGAAGATTCGAAACATCTGCTGCATGGAGATTTACAAAATCTATTGACATCTGGGGTCTTCCATTAACAGGCAAATACAACACATACGGAGGTGGGGGATATATTCTAAACCTACCAAAAAGTAGAATTAAGGCTCAACTCTTTTTGAAAGAACTCCAAGACTTCAACTGGATTGACAGAGGAACACGTGCTATTTTATTGGAATTTACTCTCTACAACCCCAATGCTAATCTGTTTACTTATGTTACCTACATAGCAGAAATAACAGAAATAGGTTGTTCCTTTACTTGGACTGACACAAATCCATTCAGACCGATTGTTTCTCTGAATGCCATGGGGACTTTTGCTATCATTTGCTATTGTGTTTACGTTTTGTACCAGCTAATTGTCACATTCAATACACTTAAAGGGATTCGAAGAGATGGACTCTGTGAATATTATAAGGTGGTCTGGAATGTAGTGGATACTGTATGCTTGATTCTTGGATACAGTGCTATCGCCATCTTTATTCTTAGACTATCCTACACCAACCATGCAATGGGTCTATATTATGAGTTACCTAAAGAAGAAATGGATTTCATAAATTTTTTTCATATTGTAGTGTGGGACAGGCTGTTTAATGTCTTAATGTCCATACTCGTGTTTATTGGAACATTGAGAATATTAAGGATCCTTGGATATAACCAGAAACTGATGGAAGTTATTACCGTAGTTACTAATGCAGCTAAAGAAATCATTGGTTTCGGCGTTGTCTTTGGGATGATCTTTGGGGGATATGTCGATCTCGGTTATCTTATTTTCGGACGCTCCCTTTACGAATATAGAAGCATTTTCACTTCTTGGGGAACTCTTACTAACGCTTTAATCGGCAAGAACAGTTTGGATACCATGATCCATGCAGCCCCACATCTTGCACAAGTCTACTACTTTACATACGTTTTCTGTGTCCTTTTCACGCTTATAACCATGTTTGCTGCCATTCTGAACAAAAGTATTACTAAGGTCAGAAATGATTCGACCAAACAAGGAGACATGTTTGGCATTATTGATATGCTGACGAAGTCTTTTAAGAACATCATTGGTATTGCTTACAAAACTGACAGATCCTTGTCCAAGAATGCTGAGGCAAAACAAAGTAAGCATTTCTCTTATAAATAAGTTGACAAGACTAGTATTCTTCACTGGTTTTAAAAATATGATATGTAAACACGACATCTGCACAAGCACTTTGGATTTACGTAAGCTATTTTCTTCCATTTGTCACTCGAAGAAAAATGCAATACAGTTATTTTTAAAGAATACATTTCAAAGTCAGCTCTTACAATTAGTGTTCTTGAACAACAACAAAACGCTTTCTCAGCGATGTCAGTGCACATCATATGTGTTTCTGCATGCCCCGAAGCATTAAAGCAATTTAACAAAATTTGTAGAATTTATAACATTTACATGTATGTAGAATAACGAAAAGCAGCAATTTTGATATCTGGTGGATGGAATTATCTTTTTTTAAATGCCTTAATATAATTTACAGAATACATGCAAAGTATTGGTATAAAAGCTACGTTTGATGCTCCAAACATTCTGCGACTTGTTCGCACTGCTCTTGACGAAGTCAGCAGTGGAGAGGTAAGTGGACTATAGTTGGAGAAAACTTAATAAATCATAACAAACATCAGTTAGATTCTTTATAATTGAATACACATACACTCGGTCATTATTTTAAAAAAAGGATCAAAGAGCTGGCTAAATACTGTTACAAGATTCACAGTTCAAGTTCTTTCTTATGCATCGTTAGGAAACTTAGAGCTACAAATTCAATCTATTTGGATATCGCAAAGAGAATAAAGAATAATAAAATCTAAAATTAATCAGGGTTAATTGGATAGAATGGACAGTCTAACGTTTACAGATAAGACCTTGTGTTATATTCCTCTAATTCCCTTTAAAAGTTTCATAGCTTCTCGTTGCGAACTCGACAAAATTGAAAACAGTGTTTCTTTAAACAATACAGTTGAACCTCGGTATCTCGAACACGGATATCTCGAATGCCATTTATATATCGAAGTAATGTTAAAGTTCCAAGCCCTTATTTCTTTACCCTGGATATCTCGTATTTTCTTGGTCCTGTAAAATCGAGATAACTAGTTTGACTGTACTTTACTGTTAGTAAATAAGAGTACAGAGAACCAATTATTTATAAGTCCTGTCTACATATTTAACATCTGCGTAAAAGGAGCAAAATGATTTTTCTATATAGGAATTCTTCGGAGGCAACAAACAAGCTTTACCATTTTTCATATGAATTTTAGGGTCAATTGCTAACGGTAAAGGACTGATGAACTACGCACTAGCTACTTAGCATGCACTTACAGTCCAAACAGGATCACGCTTTAACTGCTCCTGCGTGTCAGATATATAGAGAACACTTTCATTACCGTACTTTGGTCGGTTATTCTGTTGGAGAAACACATTTCGACAAACAACTAATAAGGACATATTTCTTTAGCTCATGTGTCAGTATTTTTTCTCATATCCTCCTATCATTCCATGTCTCGATAATAGTTCATTCTTGATACTTATGTTTGAATAAAACTAGGAGTACTGAGCACTGATCTCGCAAAACAATACCCCCGCTCTCATATGAGTGTAATGGCAAGGTCCATGTTTTGCTAAGAGAAACCCCAAATATTTTGTCTGGTTTAAATGTAAAAAAGCAGTTGCACAATGGCACTGTGTAATAAAGGTTCTGTAAGTGTCATTAAATTTATTCAGTGGTATAGGGGGAGGTGCAATAAGGGTTGGCTACCTTAAAATGCAGCGGACGGGGGAAAACCCCAAATGACTGTCCGGGAGTAATATTCTTTTAAAGTCTCATAAAATCTTATTCCAAGGTATAGGAAGAGATTCGGGTAAGGAATAGCTACCCCCAAGTGTATTGGACGTACGGACGATTACCCCCTTCACTATAAACATTCCGTCAACTTTTCAAGTGGGGATTTAATTAATCCAGTTCGACAAATATGACTGCAAATATTTTGTAATGGAATGGTATACTCGCTTTTTTCCCTGAATTATTAAATTATTAATAGACAGTTCTATGGTATTTATTTTATATAGAGTAGTAACCGTAGAAATTTAATAATAGGTAATAAAACAGTTGTTTAATGTCTGATCAGTCAATTGACCAGTATATTTTTCCCTCATTAAATAACTGTATACTAATGTCTGATTAGACATTAAATAACTGTTTTATGACCTAATATCATAGAATGTACATATATAGGGGTATTACCAGACCAATAGATCCGAAATTTGCTAACTGACTGTCGGTCAATAGATCGCCGGTCCGAACGTCTGAAACTATTGACCGGCGGTCACACTGGAGTTTTTTTTAATAAATTAGTTTAGAGAAATGAATATACAGAGAAAATAGTAAAAAATACTACATATTTAATAACACATCAAAATCAGTTGTATCAGGTAATAATTTTGATTTTTCACAACAGCACAGTATATATTGTATATTATGTTATAATACCAGACTGTCATTTATCAAAATTCAGCAACAACGTATGGAGACTTCCAGACCAAGGAGTCTACTTCTAAACAAAGTTCATCCAATATCACGAAGTAGATCATTCTCCAAGACATCGCGAACGGGAACTCTGGGAAACGTAAATCTGGCATCGTCTGATGCAGGCGTTAATTTGAAACTCCAAAGTTTCCTGTAGAGTTTATTGACTTTATTAAGCAATATCTGCAGTTGAGACATATTCCATTCTCGTTTCATTATTTTGCAGATGTTAAGGATGACCGCATTGTTGATTTGAATCCCGAACTCCCACGGATGAAAATATAGGGGTTTTTTTTAATATGAATATTTTGATTGTTTTTTAATTGTTTGTTTTTTTTGCTTAGATAATTACTCTTTTTACTGTGAACGTTGTTTTCTATTTAGAAAATTAATGTTTTTACTGTAAACAATATGCATTATTGGAAAATATTTCTGTTTTTTATAAGAATTTTTTTGATTGTTTTTTAATTGTTTGTATTTTACTAAGAGAACTACTATTCTTACTGTGAACGTTGTTTTCTATTTAGAGGATTGTTGTTTTTACTGTAAACGATATGCATTTTTGATTAAGAGATGGTGAAAATATTTGGTGACAGTACATGTAGCATGCATCTTTCAATATAATTTGTCGTGTAGTAATACTAGTAATATAAGTAAGAAAAGTTCCATTAGTGTTTGTTAAAATTGTGAGTGTCCTAAAATAGTGATCAAAATGGATTTAGAAAAAATTAAGACTTTTTAATATTTATAATGCATCATTCATTGCATTTCCGGTTGATGTCTTATCATTACGTCCTCTTTAAACACTTGTTCATCACCAAGGGTCAGTGGTTCTCTAGGAGCTTCTCGGTTACTTTTTTTAATTCAAAGTGTGGATTTGCTTTACCAGTGTCATCCATTAAATATGAAGAAAATAAGGCATATAATAGCTAAAAAAAATTGCTTCTTCTATAAAGAAAGCTCCTCACAAAATACTACTGGAGTTAATTATTGTATTAAAGATTTTACTGTAGTTTTTACTATTGTAAAGAATTTTTACTATGGATTTGAGATTGTTATACTTTATGATCTTTAATTCCTAAATACACATAAATGGAAATATTCTATGTTTATTCACATATTTTTTTTTTCAAAATTTACATCATTCGTATTGAATTTTAGATATTTTAAACTCTAAACACTCAAAAAAAGTTCTAAAGTTTCCTTGTTAATCAACCTATCAAAGCTTTAGCATATCTAACTAAAGTACGCAATAGTTTACTACAATATTTTTTGTTAGGAACAGCCACTGATTATTGGTGAAAAACTGTGATGGTATACTATATAAATATAGATTTGCAATTAAGAACATAAAACTTTTCTTTCCATATCGTATTTCCTTTTTTCCCGCTCATGTCATGGAGCACACAGAGTTCGTGACCGGTCGTCAGGGGATGCTCACTCCTCAATGGTACCTGATCCCACGTCTGATGTTTTAGAGGTCTGTGTGTGCTCTGCTCTGAATTTGTTTTGTTTAATACGATGCTGATGCTTATTTTGCTAATGCTGATGCTGATTTATGTAACAAAATTAATTCCCTGCACTGCATATCCCAGTGTACCTGAAATAAAAGACACCACAGAGTCTGCCACGTCCGTTTCATATTTAGATATTTTTTAGTGACTATAAACGATAAAGGTCTTTTAACAACTAAATTGTATGACAAACGAGATGGCTTTGGCTTTTCCGTCGTAAACTTTCCTTATTTATGCAGTAATATTCCACTATCATCTGCTTATGGTGTTTATGCCTCCCAATTTATTCGCTACTCTGAGTACGATCAATTTTTAAAAGCAAGGCAGGCTACTTACTGAGTTTATGATACAGGGGTTTCAACAGCCTCGTTTAAAGTCAGCATTTCGTAAATTTGATGGTCGTTATAATGACCTTGTAAGCAAATATACCCTATCACTGGGTGGTATTTTGGCTGACTTTTTTCATACCAATTGTTAGGCCTTTGTTCTGAATTGACTACGGATAGTTCCGTCTACCTGATCTATACGAAGGGCTCACGGCTGGTGTGATCGGTCAACATGGAATGCTTACTCCTCCTAGACACCTGACCCGTCCTCTAGAATTTCCAGGGGTCCGTGTTGTATGCCCTCCTCACAATTTGTATTGTTTATGGATTTCTTGAGATTGATTATTGTTTGTTATCTTTACCTTTTACATATGTAAAAAGAATAGTTTATCTTGTTGTGTTTATTTTGTCGTTCAGTATACACTCTATTGCAAGACCTGTTCTGTGTACGCCTCAAATAAATAAATGTAAAACATTTATGATGTTGTTTGATTTTTTCCCCAGCAATTGCTTTGTGTGAATTTTAGATGGATTTAAGATGTGAAATCATAACAAAACTGAGGTGTGAAGTAATTATACTGTAATGGTCATGCGTTTGCATTATATTAATTGATATGAATTCTTAATTTAAAAGTTATGCCAAGGAACAAATTGTAGTACTGCTATGATATTCGTACTTTAAAATTGGGATAGATAGATAGATAGATAAGTGAATTCTTATCGGATGGCCATATGAATCATATTGTAGCCCTTTACCCGTGGAGAGGATGACAGTTGACATTACTGATGTTGTATTCGATCTTCATCTACTACTGAAACAAACTACATGTATATCTGATGGTTAAGTTACAAAACGTTGAATACTTACATCAGACCTTTAGTATATGCCGGGGTTCGATTCTCGTCTCGCTAAGACGTACGCACTAGAAGTGAAAGTCACGGGTCTTTCGGATAGACCTTAATAGGCATTCTCTGTAAGCATCAAAATAGGCTGGAAATGGTATATCACAGTTTTTTTTAATGAAACTTTACGTAGTAGTACGATATTTTTTTGCAGAAAAATACCATTAAATTGGTCCATAGTCAACGTTTCCATGGTAATAAGACGCCATAGTAACCAGCATAGACGGGTATAACCCATACAATAAAAATGATCTCCTAAAGAAAATAAACGGAATAACATGTTCAGTGTCATAATCTGCAATTATTAAT